TGGATCTATATGGATAGTTTGAGGAATAAAATTTGATGTTAATATTTAGAAACCAGAGACCATTGCCTAAAACGCCAGACTTTGATCTATCAGTAAAAATGAGTAAAAAACTTTTCCATTTGTTGCTAACCAAGTTCAAGAAAAGACGTTGAATTTCTACAGGAGTAACTGCAGGCAAAAACATGATAACTGGATGAAAATAATGTGACCTAAAAGGAATCATGAATAAACTATGTATACCAGTTCTTAGAACGTTGTAATGAACTTGTCAGCAAAAATTTAAAAAAAGGAAAAAGAATAATTGCGTCATTCAAGATGATAAATAAAAGCTAAGGTTAGATGATTCTCATTAGATAAAATTTTATCAGATGTAAAGTTAGCGAGTAAACGAAATATTTCGGGCAGAGGCATAACGTTTGCCATCTGTTTTAAACTTAGAGTGTGAGTGGATCTCATGCCACCAAGAGCCAAAGGGAGACATCTCCATTGAATTCTACATAATTTCAACAGATTTTTAGTTAACATGTCCGATAAAAGTGAGTAAACGTGTTCTAATTTTGATCTTACTGGTCCGAGGCATAGCTTAATTGCATAAGAAGGGCTTTGAAATACCACAAATAGATTTAGGGACGTTAATTAATTGAAAACATTGATGGGTAATTTTGCCAATGTGAGTAGCAGAAGAAAGTGTCGAGTGTAGAACAAAGCCTAAACAGGCGAACGTTTTGACAAACGGTATAGTAGAACCATGTAGAAGAAATGGAGTGACAATATGGTCTCTTCTTTTTTTCGAGAAATGCTTAGTCTTACTAGTTGAAAGTGTAAGTTGGAGGTACTCAAGACGAATGGAAAAAACATCAAGGGTGAATTGTAAAGAATGTCTGAATAATTCTGGATAGAAGTTAGGACTGAAAATGACAAAGTTATCAAAACTGAGATATTCCCAGGAAGCATGCTGAAAATTGTGGTAATATATAAATTAAAACAGAGACCAGTTAATATAGAGGCTTGAGACATACCTGTGAATGATCTCATCGTTGTTAATTAACATGTTCTTACAAAAAAAAAGAGATTATGTAATAAATTACAGAATCTGATAGGGATATTCAGAGAAAAAAATTATTAAAGAAACAACCCGATGAATCATTGAGTTGGATGATGTTTGATATGTTACGGACAATGTTGTTAAGCGAAGAGGATTTTCTCCATCTTGGATAGGTGTCATTAAGAATGTTCCAGATACTTAAGCAGCTAAGGTTAGGTGTATAAATTGAGAGATCTATGCGGGAGGAGACGGAAACAAATTGAGCGAGATTGTTATTTAATAAAACTAATTTTTTACTTTAAAAAAGTCTTGCATTTGTGTCCCCTCGTGTTGGAGAAATGACTACTCAAAAACATATTGTGAACATTAAAGTCTCCACATATTAAGGCGGAAACATTAGAGCTGAAAGAGAAAAAATTGTTAAAGACTTGGTCTAAAACAGTACAATTAGGTGGAAAGTACCAACTAATGATCAAAAGCTCATCGAAAGATGTGTGTGTAGCTACAAGTTTCAATATCTACAGATAACTATGCGCCTATGTCGATGTTATTTTTGATACATTTATATAAAAAAGATTATATATTACATTTCAAC